TGTTTCCCCATCCCCGCTGCCAGGGGCTCAGAGCCCGCAGTTGACGAAGGGGTGTCTCAGCAGGTCCTCGGCCGTCGGCCTCCGCTTCTCCTCCACGAAGATCTGCTTGAGGAAGTTGCGGCAGGAGTTGGAGACGCCGTCGGGGAGCTGGGGGTTGGTCGGCTGGGTGGCGATTTTAAAAATAGCCGCCATGGCTTCGAATTCTGCCCACGGTGGCTTCTCCGTTAACATCTCCACCACGGTGCAGGCCACGCTCCTGCAACAACACCAAGCATGAGGGGGTGAGATAGCAAGTAAGGGACTGGGGTGGCGGGATTTGAAGCGTAATCGGCTCTAGGACTGCGCCTGCCTGGAACGGACTGTGTGGGAAGCAAACCCACGAGAGATGGGCGCCCATCTCTGGTACGCGTGGCCCCTGAAGCTCACTGGTCACACAGGTCCTTGGCACTGGGCTCTCCTCTCCCACTAGCAGAAGAGAACTTGCAAGGTTGCTCTAAATCTGGTGGCTTTTCCGCCTATGTTAACTGGCAGATATTAAGTTTCATCAAAGCATGTGAGAGACCTCATCGGGGCATTCCCTGAAGGGAAACTCGGGCTAAACAAGTTTAGACACCACAGTTTCAGCAATAGCATGCAGTTCCCCAGGAAGCTGAGCAAGAACGAAACATGTTTGTCTACATCCAACTTCACCTCCGATGTGCATCTGAGGAGCACGTCAGATGAGCAGCAAAGAACCTCAGCGGTTTCCCCGTGCTTGCTCAGGAGTCCTCGTCTCAGGAGGGACCTCTCTGCCACCTCCACTCATAGTTGCTCTTAAAAAATGGAACCATATTTCCCTCCCATCAGCCAGAGCAGGTGGTGCAGGGTACATGGCTGCTTGCTAAGGACTCCCTACGTTCCCCCAAACAAGGAGGGCTCTGTTGGAGGGACTAGTTTTTGTTGACCCTACTTGTCTGGGCCCCCAACAGAAAGCACACTGCAAAGACAGCGCTTCCTCCTCATTTATTGGGAGGATTAGTAGTGTTATCCCAAGTCTTTCAGGCTCCAGCTGACATCCTCCGCAGATCAAAACATTCAGAAGCAGCCGATGATTTTGGTTGCCTTTGTGCCTAAGCCACATGCAAACATCCAGCAGCAGATTTTGAGAGGCTGTACGAGATTCCCCTGAACCTCTGAGCTGGGTTTAGCTAATCTAAAATCAGGACTGCCAAAACTCAACAGCTCTTTTATCAACCTGCTTTCCACAATTCAAAAGCAGCTACAAGGTCGAGCTGCACATGACCCTCACACGTAACAAGAGCTTCCAAAAGCAAGCCGTGATTCTGAGTACTCCTGTTTTGGGACCTTCAGCTACAACGTGCTCCCTCTGGATATCTGCACAGCTGATCCTAACATCCAGCTCCTATTTCCATCCTTTGCACTGCTCCGTCTTCCAACTACGTGCTATACCTGTTGCTCCCATTACAACTTCCCAAAGGAATTCTTTGATTTAAGCAGCAGTGGTGGGGTTTCTACTGTATTCCTTACCACACATCAGCTTTCCTTCCGTAGCCCTCTCCACTGATAACCTCTGGGCTCATCCAGTACGGTGTTCCTGTCACAGATTTAATCCCAGTCCCAGACATGCAGATGGTCTGGATGCGTTTGCTGGCCCCAAAATCTCCAAGTTTCACATTTCCAGCAGAATCTCTCAAAATATTGGCACCTGGGGTGAAAAGCAAAAGCAAAAGCCCCAAGAGATGAAGCAGCAACCTGAATTGAAGTGGCTACAGCGAGGAGAGCAGGAAGTGCACGGGCAAAGAGCTGAACATGAGGGAGCCCAGAGGGCCTTGGTGGGGCTGGACTCAGCATTACATAAAATCCCTCTCTCCGAAGGCAGCTGCTCTCAGAGAGGGTCGACTCCCACCGGCACCTCCTCACTCAGCAGGTTTCCCAAAAGTGAGCAGTGAATGGGAGATGACAGATCATCCTCCCCACCCACAGAGAGCAGAAAAGAGCCTCAGATCTCTCTGAGTGCCAGGGCCTCTCAATTCCTGGGTATGTTACACCAGGTTTTTAGATGTGTAAGGACAGTTAACAATAATCCCTCTCAAGAGTACTTAATTTGGGCTTCCCAAGCAGGAAGATAGCACAAGATTTTGGTTTCAGCTGTCTGTTTAAGATTCTCAGGCTTCAAACTGGTGAAGGCCAGGGGCAAAAACACTTTAACTGCCAGATCTCAGCACTATGTTTTGCACAAGAATTTATATTGGAGTGGGGGATGTTGGGTTGAACAAATCTAAGCAAGCACGAAGCCTACTCACCTTTAATGTCCCTGTGGACAATCATATTGCTGTGTAAGTAGAAGACTCCCTGCAGGATCTGCCTGGTGTACTTCCGTGTGACGTTCTCGGTCAGAGCACCGTAAGCTTTCAGCTGGTCCTTTATTGAGCCCTGTTGCAAAGAAACAACATGCACCAACCATAAGAACCAGCAGAACCATCATGTCACAGTAACTTTTTAAGCTTTGCTGACCACTCTATCTTCCAGCTCAAAAAAAACCCCACTCTGCTGTAGAAACAGCAAGATAAAAATCCATTAAGTGCTGAATGAGACAAAGACTTGTCCTCAGTGCCCCAGATCCCAGTGGAGAAAAAGGTATGGTCTCCGGTGTGTATCAGTGCTACCTCTGCCAACACTACGGATCTTCTTCCCCCTCTAGTGGCTGGACGTCACCAATAGCTCATGGAGAAGGACCAAACTGATGAGGAGTTACAACTCAAGTCAGAGGATTAACTCCACTAGTCCTTCAGGGCCAAGCTGACGAGTCAAGCCTTCTATGAAGCCTCCCCCCACAACTTCTCACAGCAAGGAGTCCCCACTGCCATGAGGCAGACAGGCTCACGAGGGACACGATCAGCCCCACGTGGGACTGCTTCAACAAGAAGACCCAGGGTAGACAATTTGCAAGCACTTGAATTTCTGACCCACGCATGCCGGCTCCTATTGGTTTGATTTTATTGATCAGAGAGGAAAGGAAGCAGGGCTGCAGGCATCTATCATCTGCAAGAAGTTGACTCCCTTGCTTTTAGCTATATTTTCTGTCCACTTGGAAATGGATGTCCCTCACTATGCCAGAGCTGGGTTTTAGCAGGGATGAACCAGAGGCAGATTCAGAGTTCCATCAGAGAGGTTGCACCCAGCTCTGCCTCCAGTATTCATGCTAGCTGGAAAGCAGGAGGGGAAACTCATCCTGTTTCTGCCTGTCCTGTAGCTCTGGGGTTGATCCAAGATTGCCATAGTCCTTCTGTTCTGCTAACACTTGGCTGCTCTGCTCCAAGTCAGTCACTCATAGAATCATAGAATCGTTTAGGTTGGAAAGGAACTTTAAGATCACCAAGTCCGACCGTAAACCACTCAAACTATATCAGCTTTTCCGTATCCACCCACCTCTGCTGTTGCTCTGCCTGGCTACTGTTTTGGCCTTCTTTTGAGGCTGGAGGTGATTCTGTGGATGGGCCTCTCCTTTCCCTTTCACAGTGCTGCTGAAGTAACCCGGGATGCTCTGAAATTACCCCCTCGTACAATTTGTATGCAGGGTATGTTCCCTCACCCACAACTGAACAAACTTTCTTATCCTGGTTTCCCTCACCCTGATGGGGGGACACCAAAGAAGATGGGGAAACAGGGTCTTGAAGGTCTGTGGTCAAATAGACCATTCTGTTTTCCAAGGATAAATTCAAAAAAACAGTTTATGGGCAGGGCAGGACAGAAAATACAGGTTCAGCTATTTAATGGGGGCACTCATAAGAATGCCAGGCTAATGGTGCACCCAAGTTTGGCCCTGAGAAGATTTTGCCAAGCTGGGTGTGCTAAATCCAAAGCTTGGCCAGACTCACTATTGCAGAACTGCTGTCCTGCAAGGTTTGGGAACTTGTTCACTTCCACTGGCCTTGGAAACCAAAGCCGTGAGCTGCTTTTATGAAATAAGCTGTTGTTGCAGCACAAAAGTCAATCTGTATTTGCTCAGAGCTCTGGTTTATCATTAAAAAAACCAAACATTCAACTTCCAGCCCTGCTGGACACTGCCCCAGCATCAAATGTTGGTTTCCTGGCTGCTAACAAACATCGGCACGCTGCAGACTAAGCAGCAAGGGGACTGATGAAACTCCCGGGGTTTAGTCCTCTGCGTCCATGCCTCGCGGTAAGGCCTGAAAGCGAGATGCCTGCCCACGGGGAGAGAGGGAGGACAGGGCTTGGAAGGGACTCAAACATGTAGAAGTCCACCTGATTACTCACCTGCAAGATGTGTTAGGAGAGCTTCTAGCACGTTAACTAATAATCAAAATTATTTGCAACCGGATGACTTAATAGTCCCTTCGGACCTGACAAATCTCTGTATAAACAAGGGTTTATTCTCCCACACTCTGGGGAATGAATCCAGCTGGACAGGAGGTACTCAGGAGAACAGATCTTCTGGCAATGTAAATAGCGTTATGTTGGTTTATACCAACCGATGACTTTGTCTAGATGGCTGATGTAATTCACATGATCACAAACAGAGAAAGAGATGTTCAACTAATCCGCATACATTCTCCAGCCTCTGCTTAGACTCTCACAAAGCTTTCTGATCTTCTTTTTCCCTAGGGCTATTTCATCCTCTATCAGCAAAGTCACAAATTCAAGCCACTCCTGCACAAGAGGATAACGCTACCAACAAAAAGTTCTGCCCTGAACGGGAGAAGCCTTACAAGTAACACTGTTTTTAATACACACGTGCTGAAAGCCATAAATAATTGGTGACAGCTGTGGGTGGACAGTTGTACTATCAGCTTTTCCTGCAGGGATTTGCAATAAATACTTAAGGATGGGCTCAGGTCACAGTGTTTGGAGCCAGATCTGGATCATGTGCCACATTCACCAAGTTCAGATTCCAGACTGTGAACACACCCTGCTCTAGGATTCAAACCTAAAACCTGCCTTCGAGGCTTTTGATTTCACCCAGTTCATGTTGAGGGGCTTCACCATGACATCTGACTCACAACCTAAGCTTTCCCAAGCCTTAGGGATGCATCCACTGTTTTGGTTTGGCTCATCAGATATAGAGCAGCTCAGCTGAACAGTTTAACTCCAGATCCAAATTTCACCACACTCCAGGGCAGTCTAAATCTGTTCTCTGTCACTCAGGATAATCTTTAGCAGGAACAGCACTTACCCCTGGCATGTATTCAACAAAGATAGACAGTTTCTTCTCCTCAGGATCGCGCAAGCATCCGTAGTACTGCACTATCCTGTCGTGACGGAGAGTCTTCAACAGCTGAATCTCACATTCTAAGGCATTCACCTCCTGCAACAAAACAGACAGGCTTTGTGACAAAAGGGAATGGTTACTTCAGGAATATTATCCAAATGCTGCTCGATGCTGAGCACTGTTTTCAGAGCACTCTTTTCATAGCTGCCCACAAGGACGTCAGCCACATAAGGCTCAGAAATGAGGAGCACTGCCCTAAGAAAAAGGTAAGAAAAAAGACAGATGGGATACACAAGGGCTTGGCTTTGAGACAGGTTTACTTATTATTATTATTACTTGTACTCAAGGAGTTTTTCTGGAATGGTGTAAATGAAGAGATCAGCAAAGCTAAGGCACTGCCCGGAGTCGGAAGAAGGCGAAGGGAGCACAAAGGCCAAAACTAAGAAAAAGCAGACAGACCTGCAAGAGATGATACCCGAGACAGAGCGGCCCAACGTGACCAAGGAACTAGGAGGCAGAGAAGTCACCAAAGCACGCTGACTGGTGCCACAAGCCATTCGGGACCACTCTGAAGAGGGCAAGCAACACATACTGTCTCCACACACTGCCCTCCATCAGGGACACGGACCCCTCTGCCACCTCCACCCTCAGCCTACAGCTCACTATTCCCCAACATGTTTGCAGAACGCAGTCCTGCCCTCGTACTCACTTTACTTGTCTCCTGACTGTCAGGGTCGAAAGGCACCTGCTTCACTGACAGCTCCCGGCCAGTGTCAGCATCATAGCAGAGATAAACTTCCCCAAAAGCTCCTCTTCCAAGCAGCTTCCCCAGCCTCCAGTTCACAGGTGCCTGCAGAGCTACATGAGAGGAGAGGGTTGAAAGAAGAGCACAGCAGGCAGATTTCAGCATCAGGGTCCATCTGACCCTACAGAGTGCAGATCAGGCTCACAATGAGCTCACCAGGGCAGGCAGTGAGCCACCCTCTCCCAGGAGCACGACGACAAGCCAGTTTTAATTGCATCAGTGCTACTGGGGGGCGGGGGGGGATCTCTCCCAGTCTGCATTAGTATAAAGCAGAAACAAGTTCCAGAAAAGTCACATTTCTTTAAGAGTCTTTCCTCCAAAACCTGCTTGCTTAGCTAATGTTGGACTTTTTCCCCTCTGCTATACAAGCGGTTTGCAGGATACAGCATGGCTGAGCAGCAACCCAGGCAGGGACCAGTAAAGCGTTTTATCTCACTGGTCATTCCGAGGTTGTTATCCATCTCTGAAGAGGCTCAGAACAGACCAATTTCTATAGCACGGGCAGTCTTGCAATACCAGAGAAGCCTGCAACACCGTCTTTGGGTGTGATAGCAATGTAAGCCAAGGAACGGAGCCTCTGGACACATTTGCTCCCACACCTCAAGTGTCCTGGAAGTTTCTGCTGCAGTTTCACACTGACAGTCCAGCACACAAGCCATTTTCTGCAAGTGGTGAACAGCAGCTGACCCCACACACGCTCTCAGTTCAAGGTCAAGGTAAGATACAGTGTGCTGTATTAAATCCTCCTCATCGAGACATAAGCTAGTGCAGTGTGCCTCGTGTTGGGGGTGGAATCAAAGTGCATACACACATGGTTAGCTCAGCAGATGCCCAGTAACTCAGCAGGTCATAGAATCATAGAATTGTTTAGGTTAAGATCACTGAGTCCAACCATTGTCATGGTAATTCAATTTTGTGTCAAGATCCACATGTACTGAGACCTCAGACACTTATGGCTTTGATTCACTTACAGTTCCTAGCTTTTGTAGGGGAGGTGCTGAAGACCTGCAGACCTTTTTCACAATTGTTCCACCTTTTGGGCCTGTACTCATCGTACTGCAAGGTGCTGAGCTTGCTGTCCCCATTAAAGCTCTTGGTTCGGCTAGAAGGGACAAGCTGAAACAGGTTCTCCTGTGGGAAGTAACTCCTGGGGAAAGTCCTCCGGCCTGTAGGAGAAAAAGGGGAACAGTCACAACAAGAATGCACACATCAGCTTGGATCTACCTATCACCACCTTCTCACATTGCTGCCCAGATCCAGTGATGCATCTCTTCAAATGAAACGAAACAAGTTTAATGAAACTGAAGCAAAGCCCTGCGAATATTTCTAATTGAATTTAAGAGTTCTTAACAGCAGGCATTACATCCAACGCAGATGTTTCCAGAGGGGTTTGCAACAGTTTAATGACATCAGGGTTTTTGTCGGTTGTTAATCACAATTAAACTCTGAATAGGTGGGGATTTAAACTGCAAAGTATGCCTGCCATCCCCTAAGTCCACAATACAAATGACCACACTATCAGTGCCACATGTCATGATAACTGCTTTCACAAGGGTGGTGTCAGTGAGAGATGAAGTTCATTCTAGAAGCTCTATATGCTGTCTCCATGTCCTCAGTACTTTTTTTCAAAAGGAATTCGATTCTTATTCAGTTTTGCCTCCCACCACTTGTAGTCTCATACAGTGAAAGAAGGAGCAGCAAGAAGGTGATGGAGTGGTCCTCAAAGCTCAGAGCTCACAAGCTTAAAACAGATGTGAACAGATACTGCTACCCTGAAATTGCTAGGGGATTTTCTACAGCTCTGTGAGATACCTGCTGTAAAGGTCACAAACCAGCATCCTCCAAAGTCAGCAGTTAGGGGAACAGAAAGGTTAATATTGCCAGGGATGAGAAATGCCAGTCATCCATGCGGCAAAGTTAAAACAGGTGTAAGCAGAGGAGGAGCTGAGCACTGACTTTCACACATGCTGTAGATGCTCAGCACTTCCCAAGAGCAGACCCCAAAGGTCTCACAGAGCATGCTCTTCAGAATACAGAAGCAAATCCCAAATTACTCAGTGGTTCTCCCTTTATTAGAAATCTCTCCTTCCCATGTCTCTCCAGTCCTAGGCACTGTCCGAAGCCATCAAGATCCTGGACTGAGCACCTCCCTCCCTGACCCGCCATCATTTTCTTACCGTCACTGTAGTCCTTGCGACTTTGGGAGAGGTGGTACTGCCTTGGGAAGGTCCCACCTTTCCCATACCTCTCGCAGAATGGGATGTCGAAATCTGACAGGAGAGAAGACACAAGTGTTTTTGAGATTAGCTCAGTATCAAACGCCTGGAGTGTTTCTTATGGGAAAGCGTTCTGGTCTTCACATTAAATGACAGGCAAGATCAAGGTGACAAGCTGTTCATTTACACGACCATACATTCTCCAAGGCTCACTCTGAAATCTGTCCATATTCACACACTCCTTAGTGGAAAATAAGGGTTAGACATACTGGTCTTGGTCCTGCTAAAGCAAAGAGGTTTAACTGCTGACTTTATGGACCCTGGCTCACACCGTTCAAATACAAGGGAGGGGATTAACATAGACCATGCCTGGACTAAACATCTTCTTTGCACATGAAAAATGCAAAAATTAGTATAGAGACAGAATTGCCAGGCAGGGTCAGGCCCAGATCCATCTACTCCAAAACCTCTGCTCTGACATCAGCTATTTCCAGGGAAATGTAAAAATCCAGCACTTGGCTAACACAGGACAATCTCTCCCCTCTTTCTTCTGAGATGTGACTCCTGATCTCTGAAATCCAGAGACCAATTTATAGGCCCAGAGCTCCAAACTTTTATATTTACTTTGATTAAATGCTAGAAAGATAGACTTAGAATTTACAGAAGGGATTAAAGACCATCAGAGTTTAGATTAGACATGAGATTATGAAAGAGATGGATGGACACGCGAGATAAGGACATATTTTCTGTTTAATAAAAAAAATGCAGCACAGGAAGCCATTGCTGGTAGCACTGAATAACTTGAGATTAAAATATCTGTCATTTCCCCCCCATCTTTCACCTCCTGTTTTTCCTCCATCCAACTCTAATGACACAGTCCGTTCTGATTGTTTGTTTGTCTTAGCCTGGGGCCAGCAGCCGCTCCTTGGAGACCGTTCCTGGCCTCTGCTGCACTTCAGCATGATTTCCCCATTACAGCAGCGCGCAAGAGGAGCGCATAATGGCTGAAATATGGTCAGCAAGAAAAGCAACAAGGACAGGTCAAGAGGTTCTCGGTAAGCCACGTGTGAGCGACGATGCCGAGTGGTGTCTCAAAGCAAAATGCCTCCCCTACCACTAGGGATGTACTAAAACCTTCAGCGACGTGGAAGGTCTGCTGCAGCTTCATCTCTACAGTTCAGTCTAGAAATCCTGCCTCAGGCCAGAAATGAGTTATCAGGCCACAGGCTGACTGCCATTTGCTCATTTTTAATAGTGAAAGTCATCACAATATTACAGAGTTTCCATGATTTAACCAGCTGGATGTTTATAAGTGATGAAGCAGTAACCTATGATCCTTGCAAGATACCAATACACTTTCTCTAACAGCATTTGCAGTATTCCAGATTATTACTAATGCAAGTGGAAGAGGTATAACTCCCTAGAGAGTCTGGGACTCGGGTTCTGTTATGTAGGAAGTCAGGATCCTGAAAGTGCAACTCATGGGTACTAACAGAGACAAAAGGTGATCCCACAAGGCTGTTTCCAGCTTGTCAGCACCTCGCAGTTGTCTCCAAATACAAAAGCAAGGCCCCCTCAGCAACTTCTTCCAACACAGACCTCACCTCTGATTGTTCAACAGCTTTACTTGCTTGTATCCATTTACTTCAGGGCCCTTGCTACCCAGTTTGGACTGTTGTTCCTGTAAGTTGATTCCTAAACCAGGCCCAAAGGTTCCTCAGTGCTACCACTACTGCTGCAGAAACAAGAAGGGTTGATGATGACAAGAGCAGCCCTGCCGGTGTTTGATGCTCTGGGTCTTTTGATTTTAGAGAACATTCATGTTTCGTCATTGCAGGGTCATTTTTGAAGTGTAACGTAAGCAATGGAGTGGGTTTGCTTGATTGTTTTTAATTACTTTTCATGCAGTGTCATCTCTCTAATAGCCTTTACCCAGTCTCGTTACTACATGCCTGTTATACTTTTAAGCAAATACAAACCTTCAAGAGTGCTTACCCATGCAATCAAGACTGTCTTTGGGGTGGGTCTTCCTTCCAGGAACAGGGGTTTGGGTAAAGGGAGGGCTGCAAAGGGATGAAAAGAAAAAA